GCAAAAGCAACAGCGGCAGCAACATCATCACCAGCAGCAACAACAGAACAGTTTCCACGACCACGACAACAGCGACAAGAAGAACAGCAACGCAACAACAGTAACAGGAGCACCAACAACAACAGCCAGAACCACAACCATGACCACCGCCACCACCACCGCTACCACGACGATGACGACATCTTCAACGACAACGACAGCGACAACGACAGCGACGACCAGCAGAAGCAGCAGCAGCAGCAGCAGCAGAGGCAGAAATAACAACACCATCCACATACAAAGTCCGATCAGTTGCTTCTTGTGAGATGTTGGAATTTCTTAGCGTCGCTTTGGGAGTTGTGCAGCGGGTACGTGCTTCGGTGGTTTTCCATCCCACCCTTGTTTCCTCAAAAGTGTTAGGCAGAGGCGGTGAGCAGAGCAGTCAATATTGCTGCTCACTTTCTTGGAGGTGTGTCAGGTGCTTGAAGAGCTTGCCTTGTCTTTGTTGGCTCTCTATCATATTAAGGTGTTCTGATTTGCTGTGTAGAGCTCAGTTTCACAGGTTAGGTAGGAACCCGGCAACTACTTCAGCAACATATATATATATAGTTATATAAATTATACGCATGTGTATACATATACATATAGGCAAAATATGCGTGTCGCTTGCTAGATGTGAATTGGGTAGGTTATATGCAAAGATGTGTTTGTCGCACATTAGGTAATATTATGATGTTAATGGACAATAGTTTTGTTTGTGTTGCTGCTTCACATTTCCACTATCCCTTTTATATAAATTCATGCTTGTTTAGTTGTAGACTGGCAATATGGCATTGATATAAAAATTAAGAAAACATAGTTAATAGAAGTGGTAACTTATTTCAGCAATGAGGGTTGGTAGAAAGAGTTTTAGGATCTATTTGTTTGGCAGGCCCTGTGCTTCCAGGCGTTTCGCCACGGGTAAACTGGAATTCTCGCCTATGCGTTTACCATTGGTTTTCCTTGGTCGGCCCTGGCTTGCCTGGAAAACAGAAGACCCAAATCTTGTCACGAGGGTTCCCACGAATTGTCAAAATGGAATGACTCGCAATAACTGGTCTGGTTTTCCAGTCGGTTTCCCTAGCCAACCCCGAAAAGGGTACCCTCGAAAGCCATACGCCCATTTACTCTACCCGGAGAATAGATGGCTCAAAAAAATGGTCTGTGCCATCTACTTTTCTTCAACTTAGATAATTACACTCCGCGCGCCGGCGCCAGATAATTGGGGGTCAACCGGGATGCAAAATAGATGGCACAATTTTTTAGCCCCCAAAGAATAATTTATCGCTCGCTCACTGGCTCACTCACTCACTCGCTCGCTCGCTCGCTCACTCACTCTCACTCACTCGCTCACTCACTCACTCACTCACTCACTCACTCACTCACTCACTCACTCACTCACTTCAGTTTCATGCCGAGTCAGCGCCAGCTGATGTGACAGATAGGGTGTAGGGCGGGCGGTTAAACAAGAAATGTGCAATCTACTTTCACTTCCGGTGGCCAAGTCACGGTTTGTTGCATTTGGAGTTGCGCCATCTACTTTTTGTGGCAGTGCCTCAACAAGGCCGCCCCCAGGCAGCGGGGAGGTCCAGCCACACCAGTTTCTGCCAGGTAAGTACAAGATTTTTCCAGGCAGGGGGAAGTCCAACCAGGCAAGCAGAGATTGGCAGCCTTGCAGAAATTCAGGAAGTGCATCCTTTTTCGGGACGTCCAAGCCGAGATCGACGCCCCATGCGTGGAATTGTGCCATCTACTTTGCTTCGTTTGTGGGAGGGGCAGGCTTGGACATCCCGAAAAAGGCTGCACTTCCTTAACTCCCTGCAAGGCTGCCTTGCCTCTGCTTGCCTGGTTGGACATCCCCCTGCCTGGAAAAATCTCGTGCTTACCTGGCTGAAACTGGTGTGGCTGGACCTCCCCGCTGCCTGGGGGCGGCCTTGTGGAGGCACTGCCCCTCCCACAAACGAAGCAAAGTAGATGGCACAATTCCACGCATAAACTTGCGAAGCAGCCCACCCGTTGATCTCGGCTTGGACGTCCCCAAAAAGGTTGCACTTTTTTGACTCCCTGCAAGGCTGCCTTGCCAAATCAGCCCTCTGCTTGCCTGGTTGGACATCCCCCTGCCTGGAAAAATATCGTACTTACCTGGCTGAAACTGGTGTGGCTGGACCTCCCCGCTGCCTGGGGGCGGCCTTGTGGAGGCACTGCCCCTCCCACAAACGAAGCAAAGTAGATGGCACAATTCCACGCATGGGCGCGAAGCAGCCCAGGCGTCGTTGGACGTCCCCAAAAAGGCTGCACTTCCTTAACTCCCTGCGGGGCTGCTTTGCCAAATCAGCCCTGTGCTTGCCTGGTTGGACATCCCCCTGCCTGGAAAAATATCGTACTTACCTGGCTGAAACTGGTGTGGCTGGACCTCCCCGCTGCCTGGGGGGCCTTGTGGAGGCACTGAAACGAAGCAAAGTGGATGGCACAATTTCACGCGTGGGCTTGCGAAGCAGCCCAGGCGTCGATCTCGCCTTGGACGTCCCGAAAAAGGCTGCACTTCCTTAACTTTGTGCAAGATTTGGCAAGGCAGCCCTCTGCTTGCCTGCCTGGAAAAATCTCGTACTTACCTGGCTCGCTGCCTGGGGGCGGCCGCACTGCCCCTCCCACAAACGAAGCAAAGTAGATGGCACAATTCCACGCGTGGGCTTGCGAAGCAGCCCAGGCGTCAATCTCGCCTTGGACGTCCCGAAAAAAGCTGCACTTCCTTAACTGGACGCCTGGGCTTGCAGGGAGTTAAGGAAGTGCAGCTTTTTTCGGGACGTCCAAGGCGAGATTGACGCCTGGGCTGCTTCGCAAGCCCACGCGTGGAATTGTGCCATCTACTTTGCTTCGTTTGTGGGAGGGGCAGTGCCTCCACAAGGCCGCCCCCAGGCAGCGGGGAGGTCCAGCCACACCAGTTTCAGCCAGGTAAGCGGTAAGTACGATATTTTTCCAGGCAGGGGGGGATGTCCAACCAGGCAAGCAGAGGGCTGATTTGGCAAGGCAGCTGCAGGGAGTTGAGGAAGTGCAGCCTTTTTCGGGACGTCCAAGGCGAGATCGACGCCTGGGCAAGCCCACGCGTGGAATTGTGCCATCTACTTTGCTTCGTTTGTGGGAGGGGCAGTGCCTCGATGTCCAACCAGGCAAGCAGAGGGCTGATTTGGCAAGGCAGCCTTGCAGGGAGTTAAGGAAGTGCAGCCTTTTTCGGGACGTCCAAGGCGAGATCGACGCCTGGGCTGCTTCGCAAGCCCACGCGTGGAATTGTGCCATCTACTTTGCTTCGTTTGTGGGAGGGGCAGTGCCTCCACAAGGCCGCCCCCAGGCAGCGGGGAGGTCCAGCCACACCAGTTTCAGCTAGGTAAGTACGATATTTTTCCAGGCAGGGGGGGATGTCCAACCAGCAGAGGGCTGATTTGGCAAGGCAGCCTTGCAGGGAGTTAAGGAAGTGCAGCCTTTTTCGGGACCAAGGCGAGATCGACGCGTGGGCTGATTCGCAAGCCCACGCGTGGAATTGTGCCATCTACTTTGCTTCGTTTGTGGGAGGGGCAGTGCCTCCACAAGGCCGCCCCCAAGCGGGGAGGTCCAGCCACACCAGTTTCAGCCAGGTAAGTACGATATTTTTCCAGGCAGGGGGATGTCCAACCAGGCAAGCAGAGGGCTGATTTGGCAAGGCAGCCTTGCAGGGAGTTGAGCTTCGTTTGTGCTCCGTGAACTTGTCACAGCTCGGTGCCAATCGGGAAGAGCCTCGCCACAGTTGCAGCTTGCAGGGTCCCAGGAAGCCTGGGGGAGGACAAGCTGTTGGCGGTTCCCAAGCAATGTGTAATGCGGACTTCGCTTTAGCAATGCTATCGATACTCAGGAATCGCGCAACTAATGCTTCAAAGCCGCAGCTTCCTTTTGGGCACCACTGTCCTTTCCAAACGTTTCTAAGTGTTTGGTCGGCTGAAGTCGGCTGATAATATGCATCAGTAGGTCTGAATGGTCACAATGGAAATGGAGTGAGTCATAATCAAAAAGTTTGAAATGAAACGAGCCTTTAAAAAAGTGCGAACACATATGCGTGATGTTTGCAGTTTAATTAAAGCTCTTCCTCCGGCTGGCCCGGAAACGGGAGACCCATGTAGAGGACCCCTCCTGTCCCACACCCTCCACCCCACTCCACTCCACTCCACTCCACTCCGTCCACTCCACTCCACTCCACTCCACTCCACTCCACTCCACTCCACTCCACTCCACTCCACTCCACTCCACTCCACTCCACTCCACTCCACTCCACTCCACTCCACTCCACTCCACTCCACTCCACTCCACTCCACTCCACTCCACTCCACTCCCACTTCACTCCGATCCACTCACAGAAGAGTCAATGGGGTCGGCGGACATGTTTGCTTAATACATCCACTCTCCACTTTCCACGCCACTCCACTCCCACCCACTTCACTCCGATCCTCTCACAGAAGAGCCAAATGGGGTCGGCGGACATGTTTGCTTAATAGATCCACTCTCCAGTCTCCATGCCACTCCACTCCACTCCACTCCCACTTCACTCCGATCCACTCACAGAAGAGCCAAAAAGGTCGGCGGACATGTTTGCTTAATAGATCCACTCTCCAGTCTCCATGCCACTCCACTCCACTCCCACTTCACTCCGAGCAAAGTAGATGGCACAATGTTTTTGACCCCCTGGATATTCCCTGATTTTTTGAGCCAGTAGATGGCACAATTCGCCGGATAATTGAAGATATGTGCCAACTGTGAATTTGCATTTTTATATCACCCCGTGCCATCTACTTAAAAATATACGTCGTAAATGTGCCATCTATTCTCCGGGTAGTGTACATGCGTCTTTTTTGAGGGTTTGGTGGTTTGAAAGGAAAACCTCCATTTTGGGGGGTGTCCCCTAAAGAAACCAGACACATGTCTTTCTTGAAACATCACGCCGGGGGTCTCTCATCGAGGCTTGGGTGACCTGACCGCAAACTTTGCCGCGGACACGGGGGTCACCAAAAAGCCGCTTCGACCAACATGGCTCGTCTTCACGCTCGAAGTCGGAAGTTCGACATCTGCCGAATCCGCTCGAGTTTCTATACTTCATATGAGGTCCCCATACTTCCCTTGGCGGGGTCAAACAGCACTCTTTTGGCCAAAGGGTGGTCATAAAAGGGAAACATATCGGTAAAACCAAACATGCAGATGGACACCATCCTGCGCCAGTTGGGATGGATGAAGCTCAGTGAGTCCTGACTCAACCATCTACCAACTGGTGCTAGATTTTGCCTATCCACTTTTTTTGGGTGCTGCTCAAGTGGCAATCCGGTTTTTCACGTCGGCCCATTGAGATACCGGCAGACGAAGTTTAAATTTGCCCCAAAAAGGAATCCCGCCCGGGAGGGCCATCTTGTGTTACTCTCCGAAAAGGAAACCGCCAGGGGAAGTAACATGTGCACGTTTTTGCCAGACCACCTGTCAGTGGAAGAGGTGGAAGATTGCGGCTTTGCCAGCACCCCCCCCCAACAACTGTTTTTTCCTGTGTCCAAACTCCCAGGTACTGCCCAACAAGCAGTGGTTGTGAGCTGGGTGCTTGTGGAGAGCAGGATTTTTTAGCTGATGTAGTCTGTGACTGGGTCAGTGCTGAGCATTCTGACATCACTTGAAAGCTGTTCGCTTTCCCGGATAGACGATTTGTCAAGTGACCCTTAGTGGGTGGTTTGGAGTGTTTTGTTGATTTGAACCCTTCTTATGGAGGGTAAATGGGTAACTGCACCCAAAACACCTCCACCCATCCAAAGTTACACTTTTGAGCTGAATTTGAGTGTGGGTCATTACTTCTTGTCCATTTGGCAACGGACCTTTCGACTTTCAGTTGTTGGTTGAAACAGGTCGGATTGTCCGAACTGGACCCACAAAAGGCTGAAACCTTTCTGCAGATGGGTCTCGTCAGCCACCAAGTTTTGGAGTTGGTACCCTTGCCCCCACAAACAGTTGGCACCTGGAGCATACCTGGATCAGTTTCCTCTACACCTTCCGTGAAATGCCATACTTCCATTTGCCCAAGACTATTGTTGATTTCCCCTTGTTGCTTTCAAGGGAATCTATCACTACCTACTGGCTTCCTTTTTCCAGGGGGCTTAAGCAAATAGAAGCCTAGTACAAGTAGCAGGTCACTACCTACTGGATTCTTTCCAGGAACCTTCGGCAAATGGAAGCCGAGTAGCAGGAACGCCCGCACTCCTCGGGGTTTGCGCCTTCAGTCAGGCGCCCGCGGAAGGTCTACGTGGCGCTTCAGCTGGGCAACAGCAAGGTGCGATCTCAAGCCGCGCGGCCGCAGAAACACGTTTTGAGGTCGCCTGGGCGGGCAGCTGGGGAGCTTGCATGGACCTTGTTTCAGTTTTTCAAGGTGGAGGTGTCGAAGGAGTTGTTTTTTTTTAGGTTTCGGCTTTGTTTCGTGGCAAGTTGGAGGTGAAGGAGCTTCTTTTTTTAAAGGGAGGTTTCGGATTGATGCCGGCTGGCTCGGCCGACTATTTCCCGTGTTTGTTGCTTTTTCTCCGGCGCGTTTTGCTAAACCATTTTGTTTTCCTTTTGCTCCATGTCTCTGTCCGGGCTTCAAAGGCCTTGCCCGGGTGGGACCTGCTCGCTCCAGGCCAAGCGCCTGGAGAACGACACTGGCCGGGACTTCGGGTCGAGGCACTTGCTGAGCCTCACGGAGTCACAGAGGACCTCCGATCGATTTGTCAACAGACGGCCGAGACGGATCGATCCGAGCACGAAGATTTAGGCGAAGTGGGTAGCTATGAATTCTGGGGTTCAGTTAGCACCCGTGAAAACCATGGGGTAATACCCATTCTTTTTCCTGGATGGTCATCCAAATTGGGCCCCAAGGCCTAAATGTGTAATGGGAATTGATTGAACCCCAGGGTATGAGCCGTTATCTTCTCTCTGTTGCATAGAGGTTCTGGCATCAATGTTGGGGTTGTTTCTCGTTACCCTAAAAGCCCCCTGGACTCTAATAGGGCCTTTCACCCCCAAAGGCCCCATGTCCAAGGACCTCCTTGGGTGACTTGACCGTCGAAGGGGCTAGACGCTTCCTGGTTTTTGGGTCAGGTTCCGCAGGGAGACTCGGGCGTCAGTGCATGTTGATGCTTAACCTGCAAGCGCCGTGTTTTTTTGTTCGAAGAACCTGTGCCCTTCAGGGTATGCCGGATGACACAAGGTATCTAGCATTCCGGGCCTTGTTCCAAAATGCACTAAAACAAGCCGGTATTTGGAGCAGTATGCTTGAACCGTACCATGGGTAAGAAATATAGTATATCTATATATATATACTACAGCCAGGACATATGACATCTTATGAGACTTCGGTTGAGGTGGGCTTGGGGTATTCGCCCGGTTTTCCCACAGAATTCCAATGTGTGGTGTCTTGTTGAGGGGATCCACGCTATGTCCGTTGCAACCGCCATGTCTCCAAAGGCAGTGGCCTGAACCGTTTTGAGACCAGAAAGGGGACCAGCACTTAGGACCCCGCCACCGTTTGGACTGCACTTAGGGTTTCGGAAATGAGAAACACATAGTCGTTGGCGGGATGGATATGCTTCAGACCATTGGTTTGCTACAAAAGAAACATGTGGCAGAGAAGGTCAACTGGTTGCAGGGGATCCTTTTCTGACCGCCTTGCAGGGGTTTGGATGCACGATCTTGTTACTCCTCGGTCTCAGCATTGAACAAGCGCTCTTGCATCCTGGATTTGGGGGCAAACATCCATCTGGTGGTAGACACGATGTCAACATGTTTGGGCTATGATGAAGTTCGCCTTCGATGAGCCATTGCAGCCTAATAGAGACAATTATATAGCTATTATTAGAGGCCATGAAGGACCACAAAGCGTCATGATGATCTTTCCATGGCCCCTCCTGCTCTGACTCTGACTCAGTATTGGATGTAGTCAATATAGTAGGTATTTTTTCCCTCTGGATTTGACAGGATCCCCTGGTTACCTACCAGTGGTCAGCTGAAGATCTACTTCAGCAGCCCAACAGCGGTCAAAGTACATCCTCGCAAATATAGTATAGCAGAGTTCCCTGTGTTTCCCTTGAGTATGCGCGGTTTGAAACATCACCTTTTAGGTGCCAATGTCCCTACTCCAAATACCCGCCTTTTCTGTGGGTATCATGTCATCCCTCTACCCAAAAAGCAGGTATTTGCCATGGAAAACCAGGGTATTGAAAAACAAGCTAACAAAGGAGGGTATTTGGAGAACGTGTCACCTTTCGGTTGCCACTTTAAAGGGACTTTCCCGGCAGCGGCTTTTCGGTGTTCTTTTTCGGGGAAATTGGCTGTCCATCAGGACCCTGGTCGTCCGAGTCTTCGACAAGCGGAAGGTTCACCTCGGGATCCTGGGGGATCCGCTGGTGGGAGATCCTTGCGTCAAAGGGCTCTGTCTGGATCCGGAGTCCAACCCTTTAAAATGAGGTCATTACTCCAAATTTAGGGGTTCTGACCACTTTTTATAGGGGTCATGGAGACTCTGGGTATGTCTGGGTAAGAGGGACTCCCAAAAACTGGCTCCGGTTGTCCCTTTGGTTTCCATAGCCAACCCTAAAAAGGGTACCCTCAAAACAGATACGGCCAGTTGGGTATGTCATTTTTTGTGGGTACCCCTTTGTTTGTTGTTTTCAAGGGAAGCCAATTGGAGAGCCGTTTGCCTTTGGTGTATTTTTCCTCACCCCCCCCAATTGGTGGTTTGGGGGTTTGACTCGGTTCTTGCCGAGCGTAAATGGGAAGCCGCCACTTAACCTCCAACCCGCCAATCCAAACCACAAATTAGAGGGAAGCTGGTTATTTGAATTTGGAGATCCAGACCCCTGCAATGGAGGTTTCTTTCTGATGCCTTAGGGTAGGGTTCAACTTGGTCAGATAGGTTGCATGGTGGCAGCGCCTTTAAATTATAGCCCTGATGCACCGCCACTGTGGTTTGTGATGGAGAGCGCCTCCCCCATTACTTTAACTTGCTGGTGCTCAGTAGGGAATGAGAGAATGACCCCAACTAACCATCCTCTATGGTTTCATGTAAGGGAATCCCCTTCCCTCATTCCCTAGCTATCGCACCAGCAAGTGAATGAGCCCCTTTTCTAGACACTCCTGAAAAAGGGTCATAGCCCCTTAATGTTGGGTACTGACCTACTGACCCCCATGTTGGAAGGAGACTCCAGGTACCCCCTTTTGGTTGATTTGAAAGGGAAATGAACAGGAAAACCACCCATTTTTGTGGGTCCCCTAAAGAACGACAGGCTGATTTGCTTAGAGATTTCACCCTGAACGTCAACTTTTGGTACATATTAAATATAGTCGGGTTGTTTGGGATTCTACTGCCTCCAATCCATAAGAGGAGCCAGGGAAAGGAACTGGGTGTGGGTGAAAATTTAACCACTGAAAAACCGGTGTTCGTCCATGTTTCCATTTACCAAGGCAACCCATTTTGGGGTTACCCGGTATTTTTGACAACCACAGCCAAATGGCTGTGGGTCAAAAACATGTACCAACATGGCACCTTGGTAAATGGCGCCAAGGACAACCTGCGTAACCCCAAGTCGCTAGTTATGAGCCACAGCCAAATGAGCCATGCGAGCCTTTCCCTCGCGTTTCACGCAACTAGCCCGAGGAAGGCAGCTTGGCCTTCCCCGCAGTCTTGGGGCCCGGCATCGCCCGAGGCGAGAAGAGCCGTGCCAGGGGTGGGGGCCCCCTCGAAGTCCGAAACGGAGACATCCCCGTACGAAGCTGTGGTTGAACAAATATGGGATTAAGACTTTTGGGGGAACCATCAGGGTGTGTCTTTGTTGGAGGTTAGCCCCTTTTCTTTCTTTTTTTTTGGGCGGGGGGCAAATGCATCAAACAACACACATGTAAATCATACTTTCCTACGGAGTTTGAACAATTCGGGGATATGGGTGTGTCTTTTTTTAGGATGTAGACCCTTCACTCAGCTGTTGGTTTCTTTTTAAAAGCCAGCACAAAGGGGTACCAACACAAGAAAAGATGAGCCACCCCAATATGGCCCCTGTTTCAACCAGCCTGATTTTCACTGGGTTGCTGCCTTTGTCCACTCCCAACTTGAACAAAAAGCGCTGCCAAGGCCCCCAATTTGGGTAAGAGGGAAACCATCCCTTATTAATGCTGTCGATGGACAAAAGCTTGTAGTTGCGATCGGTGGTGTGCCTGAAGTGAATATTGTTGTTTTTTTCCCGTGTTGGTATTGAAAGGGAATATATCGCTACTGGAAATGTGTTCTCACATGGAGGATTGGGATGGACCATCATGTGTGCCCCCTACTACAAATACTTGTTGTTGTTTTTAAGGGTATCGTGTCGTCCCTTGCTGAAAAAGGAAGTCTCTACTACGGAAAGCCAGGTTGTTCAGAAGATACAAACCAAAAGCAGAGGATATTTGGAGGTTACGGGGAGAGTCCAGGTACCCTCTCATGGGAGCCGTAGGTTCCAATTTCGGGAATCCTCTGGGGGAGGGTCCTTTCTGATGCCGAAACGTGTCTGGCGAGTCCGACTGACCAAACCTGATTCGTGCTTTTCGCTCCAGGTGAGGTCCAGTTGAAGCGTGGGCAGCAAGTAAATGGCCAAGTGCTCCTCAAGTACAAGTTGGTGGACCTGGATTTCGAGGAGAACTGCGGGGCACGTGACTGACCGTTTGAAGGGGATTGGCGCTTGTTCGGCATGTGCCCATGTTCAAAGTAAGCCTAACACTCCGACTGTATGCTAGATGTTTACACACATCTTCCCTGCATGGGTGAAATGTTGGTATGTTTTACATGGATTGTTCAGGTGTTGACCTCGGATTCATAAATCCGCCCTCATAGGGAGCCCGTCCAAAAGTAGTCTGGTTCCCCACCAAACCCCACAGACATTCCTGTACTACTGAACTGTGGTTGATTAATCTGAGGCTAAGACTAAGGGGAACCGTCATGTGGGTGTGTCGTTTTTGAGGGTAGTTTTTTTTGGTGGCTTTGACACCAAGCATGTTGTTGGGTCCAAATCATTAAAAGACACCCACGTAAATCCTAGAAGTCAAACTACCTTCCTAAAGTGTCTTTTTAGGGGACCCCCCAAACAGGCTTCAGTTGTCCTTTTGGTTTCCTTTGAAAGCCACCAACAAAGGAGGCACCAACTCCAACAAAACGACGAGCCACCCATTGCGACCCATACTGGTTGAAGCTTCTCCATAGGTCATTTGGAGGGTCTCCCAGTGGTGGGCACCCTTGAAGGTTTACTAAGTGTGGTTGCCACAATGCTCCCAGCGGATTTATGAAGCTTCATCATCAAATCACCTGAATTGCAGTTTGAAATTCAGCCACTCTCGTGGATAGCCAGCAACTACATTTGTCTTTCGGTTTGTCCTTGGCATTATGTTGGCTCGCCTCAGGACGGTTGAGACTGTCTGACAGTCTGAGTCGCGTATGCCACGGTGGCTCGCTCCAGGCTTGTTTCACTGTGTCCTAGGTGTCCATTTGCTTAAGGCCTTAAGTAAATGGATGAAATGGTTGGGACTGCTTTCTGTAAATAGATGAAATAGCTCAAGGAAATAAATGGTCACCTTTTGCTAGAGGATAATGATCATGACTGGCTTAAGGAAATGGATGTAGGAGATCCAACAGCATGCTTGTGCGCTTCAGCGCACGGTACGCCTTGAGATCATTGGGCGGCTCTCCACAGAAGCTGCTTCCGAACACTTGTGCCGATATGTGGCGTGGTCAAACTCCAAATTTCTTGGGTTTGACAAGGACCATCAAACGACTTGAAAGGATAGTTTCGGGAATCCATAACCGTGTGGTCCAGTCTCCTATGGGGTCAGCAGTTTTAAACACGCATAAATGTTTGACCATGCTACAGAGGCATGTATTCGATAAGTTTCTCAAGCGCGTGCGTTGCAAAAGCGGCCCGGGCGGGTTTGTTCGTCATTGGACAGTGTGCCCAGCTGTGCAAGGCTTGACAACCAACAATTGTTGTTTCAATGGGTATAAAGCGTTTCAAATCAATCATAACATGATTTGTGGGTTCGCCATAATGTGCTTCCTTCGATTTTAGAATTGCATTGTGCCTTTTGCCTCGTGCTGATGTGGCCCCATTTGGCGACTTGGCTTTGTTTCGCCTTGATTGGCTTTAGTCCACCTTGTTTGGCCTTATTTGGCCTTATTTGGCCTTATTTGACGATGTGTCTCTTCTTGCGCCCCTCCCTAAGCATCTTGCGCCCTGAAAACGACCCTTTTCTGTGGTCCGAACCTTCATTGGTGGCCCCGAAATCTAACGCCATTTGGGTGTGGCCCAAAATTGAAGAGCTAGGGCACACCGCAGGCTTCAGTCTTTGGTTCCATTTACCAAGGTTCCAATTTGGTACAATGTCCATACATTATTATTGTACCCCCCCTCCGCCGCTGCATGTCTCGGAGTGGGCTCCGAAGAGTGCTCCGGAGGTCTCAGAGTTCCTGGAAGGACTACGAGCCTTGGTGACGCAGGCGGATTGCGTGTCACATGGGGTGGGGTGGGTGAGGAATGTGGAGAAAAGGGGATAGGTGTGCGGTTCTTCTCATTTCCCAAAAAGTTGCCCAGTGGATTCCGCCCTCTGTTCAATTTTCTGTGGGAAGGGTTCCCGTTTACAATAAACCGAACCAACACCAACAAACAGGACCATTTTCTCCCATGCACACTGGGCATCTGAGTTTCAGGGGCAGCCATGGGTTTGGCACCTTTTCCCCACAAACTTGATAGACATTCCATTGTTCTGGACTTCCTTTCTCCTTGGCCGCAGAGGTTTCTTCAAGGCTTCCTAGCATGGGAGATACCCAACAAAAACACTTCGATGGTACAGGCCGCCCAGGGATAGGGTGGGATCCCCAAAACCTGGAGGTCCGATAGGGTTCGCTTTCCAGCACCCCACAGCAACGAGCAGCGGTTGGCCTCTTGAAACAGGTATGCCCACCCCCTTAAATGTCGAATTGGCGGACGGGGTCGTTCGACCCCTGGAGATCTGCATTTATGGCAACCCATTTCCCTCTTATGGGGAAGGCTAGATCAATGTCAGTTATGCAATAGAAAAATATCAAGAAGCAGTCAAACTTATCAAATGTTAAACGAAATTGGTTCGAAGCACATTGCTAATTCCCCCCCGCCCTCCCACTTACGGCAGGGGGGAAGAGCCGATGTTTCTTTCCGCGAGGCAGAGGCGGTGAGTCGGATACCCATCGAGGAGCGGCAGAAGCGCATCGCAGGCACAGCCCGCCCGCCCTGATCGAATCGTCCCGGAGCTCCAGAGGTACCTTCCAACTCCATTCGACCCCCAGGGATCCGAATCTTTCGAAGAAACCTCCGGGGAAAGCGGCTTCCTGCTTTTTCCCCACATCTTTGTGTGGGGTTCTTACTTTTACCGCTCCGCGCCCGCCGCCCGCCGTCCGCCGTCCGGCCCCGCCGTCCGCCGCCCGCCCCGCCGCCCCCGCCGCCCACTCACTCACACTCACTGTCTCACACTCACTCACACACACTCACTCACACACACTCACTCACACACACTCACTCACTCACACACACTCACTCACTCACTCACACACTCACTCACTCACTCACTCACTCACTCACTCACTCACTCACTCACTCACACACACTCACTCACACACACTCACTCACTCACTCACTCACTCACTCACACTCACTCACTCACACTCACTCACACTCACTCACTCACTCACTCACTCACTCACAGGGGCAGGCGCAGCACTTTGGAGATGCCGTTGCCGAAGTCGTGGCAGGCGCAGCATTCTGTGCATCTGAGCGTGTGTTTGCGTGGCAGGGGCAGCATTTGGCAGCTGTCTAAAGGGCTGGGATGTTGTCGCGCGCGCAGCTCGGGGCTCGCGAAATCGTGGCAGGCGCAGCACTTTGGAGATGCCATTGCCGAAGTCGTGGCAGGAGCGGCTGGGATGGCTGGGATGTTGTCGCGCGCGCGGCTCGGGGCTCGCGAAATCGTGCCAGGCGCAGCACTTTGAAGATGCCATTGCCGAAGTCGTGGCAGGCGCAGCATTCTGTGCATCTGAGTGTGTGTTTGCGTGGCAGGGGCAGCATTTGGCAGCTGTCTAAAGGGCTGGGATGTTGTCGCGCGCGCGGCTTGGGGCTCGCGAAAGCGTGGCAGGCGCAGCACTTTGGAGATGCCATTGCCGAAGTCGTGGCAGGCGCAGTATTCTGTGCATCTGACTGTGTGTTTGCGTGGCAGGAGCAGCATTTGGCAGCTGTCTAAAGGGCTGGGATGTTGTCGCGCGCGCGGCTCGGGGCTCGCGAAATCGTGGCAGGCGCAGCACTTTGGAGATGCCATTGCCGAAGTCATGGCAGGCGCAGCATTCTGTGCATCTGAGTGTGTGTTTGCGTGGCAGGGCAGCATTTGGCAGCTGCAGATGTTGTCGCGCGCGCGGCTCGGGGCTCGCGAAATCGTGGCAGGCGCAGCACTTTGGAGATGCCATTGCCGAGCGCGGCTCGGGGCTCGCGAAATCGTGGCAGGCGCAGCACTTTGGAGAAGTCGTGGCAGGCGCAGTATTCTGTGCATCTGAGTGTGGCGCAGCATTTGGCAGCTGTCTAAAGGGCTGGGATGTTGTCGCGCGCGCGGCTCGGGGCTCGCGAAATCGTGGCAGGCGCAGCACTTTGGAGATGCCGTTGCCGAAGTCGTGGCAGGCGCAGCATTCTGTGCATCTGAGTGTGTGTTTGCGTGGCAGGGGCAGCATTTGGCAGCTGTCTAAAGGGCTGGGATGTTGTCGCGCGCGCGGCTCGGGGCTCGCGAAATCGTAGCAGGCGCAGCACTTTGGAGATGCCATTGCCGAAGTCGTGGCAGGCGCAGTATTCTGTGCATCTGAGTGTGTGTTTTTGCGCGGCAGGGGCAGCATTTGGCAGCTGTCTAAAGGGCTGGGATGTTGTCGCGCGCGCGGCTCGGGGCGGAGATGCCATTGCGGAAGTCGTGGCAGGCGCAGCATTCTGTGCATCTGAGTGTGTGTTTGCGTGGCAGGGGCAGCATTTGGCAGCTGTCCAAAGGGTTGGGATGTTGTCGGGCGCGCGGCTCGGGTCTCGCGAAATCGTGGCAGGCGCAGCACCTTGAAGATGCCATTGCCGAGCGCGGCTCGGGGCTCGCGAAATCGTGGCAGGCGCAGCACTTTGGAGGTGCCGTTGCCGAAGTCGTGGCTGTGTTTGCGTGGCAGGGGCAGCATTTGGCAGCTGTCTAAAGGGCTGGGATGTTGTCGCGCGCGCGGCTCGGGGCTCGCGAAATCGTGGCAGGCGCAGCACTTTGGAGATGCCATTGCCGAAGTCGTGGCAGGCGCAGTATTCTGTGCATCTGAGTGTGTGTTTGCGTGGCAGGGGCAGCATTTGGCAGCTGTCTAAAGGGCTGGGATGTTGTCGCGCGCGCGGCTCGGGGCGCGCGAAATCGTGACAGGCGCAGCACTTTGGAGATGCCGTTGCCGAAGTCGTGGCAGGCGCAGCATTCTGTGCATCTGAGCGCGTGTTTGCGTGGCAGGGGCAGCGTTTGGCAGCTGTCTAAATGGCAGCATTTGCAGCCGTTTTAGAACACATCATCGAGCCGCACTTCAGGACACCCGAATCGAAAGATTCGGACGCGTGGATGATTTGGAAGTTGCTTGCATCTGCGGTCGCGGGAGCGACCAATATACGCTTGTAGAACCAGCTGCAATGCAAAGAAGCCCGCAGAAATGGGGTTCCGCTCTTGGAAGGCTTTCGTCTTGAAGTACTTAGCGCCTTACAGCGCAGGATGCATGGGGCCAGGCTGGCAGATACATGCTGCGCCTGACGCGATGGCACTTCAAGCCATATGTTAAACATATGCCGCTGACATATGCCATTGGCGATGCCAATGCGACCCCTCGATTTGCCAGAGCGAAAAACAAAGTGCTGAGAGTTTTCGACATAGCTGACTGCGTGAAGGTTTTGCATGTGAGGGTCTTTGCATGTCTCGGATTTGGGATTATTCGCTGCTCGGCAGATGCAAGTGTCGCATACTTCAATAAGCATAGACTTGTGGGGTTATCCGGCCCTTTAATTTTGAAAAGAACGATGGTTTAAATAAATGGGGAATCTACGGCTAGAGGAGTGACTGGGTTTGTACCAATCAGCCAAAGCACCAAAGGCGATCGACTTTTGGCTCGTTCGCTTCGAGAGGGAGCAACTTCCAGCTAGATGGTTACTTGGCTTCATTGGGCTGGCCTAAGCCTTCCCCACTTGGAGCCACACATTGGGCGCTCGTGTCTCGCGCGAGCGCAGGCCCGGAGTCTCCCAACGCCGCAGCCTTTCTGCAGGAGATGCAGCAGGTCGCGGCAGGGCTCCTGGACTCACCTCGGTCCAAAAGCCCGGCACAGGGGGGGGGGCAGTTGATCAAAAGGGTCCTTTACCATGGGATGATCTTTGGGGTAAAGAACTAAGCAACCAGACCGATGATATGTCCCACTAAATGGGAAGAGTTGCTCATGGTCATTTGGGGGAC